ATGCAAAAGCACAACCACAGGCACAGACTGCCTGAGGTGGCACCGTTCATCTTACCACCTCACTCCAAAGGGTCATGTAGACCAGGCCTCAGTTGCTGCTTTCCAGCCAGAAAAAAGGCCTATCGCCTGAGCCTTCCTGTGAACTATCAGGTCTCTCCCTGGGGCCAAAATGACCTCCATTCCAGTTGACTTCATCATCAACAAAAACAGGTTGCTTACCTGTAACTGGTGATCTTCGAGTGGTCATCTGTGCATTCATACCCATGGGATCTAGTGCACACACGCTTGTAGCAAGGTCTTTAATGGATTTTCACGCCCAGTCCCTCGGGCATGCGCAGGAACCCCACCGCGCATGCCCACAGGGGTGACCTTGGGCATGCGCAGGAACCCCACCGCGCATGCCCAGAGGGGTGGGCACGGACATCCCGCCAGTTCCTTCAAACTGCCGCAAATCAACCTCTATGAAAAATGTAGAAGCTGACAGCAGTGGGGAAGGAGGGTGGGTGGTGTGAATGCACAGATGACCACTTGAAGATCACCAATTACAGGTAAGCAACCTGTTTATCTTCGACGTGGTCTCTGTGCTTCACACCCATGGGAGATTAGCGAGCAGTGGCCTACCTGGAGGAGGGTGCTGGCAGGTCCTTACTGTGTCGCCGAAGATAGAATGATCATCAGCGACAGGGCTGATGGGAGGGGTGGATGGTGAGGTGGAAGTACGCGTCTTGGAGGTTAGGCGTGGCCCAGGTAGCAGCCTTGCAGATGTCCGTCAGGGGTACTCCCTGGAGGAAGGCAGTGGAAGCTGCAACAGCCCGGGTTGAATGGGTCTTGATGGGGCCAGGCAACGGCTGCTTTGCAATCAAGTAGCAGAGGTGGATGAGACCCGCAATCCACTTTGAAAGGCGTTGAGCTGTGATGCGAGTCCCCAGCCTCGCTGGTGCGTATGAGACAAACAGTTGTGAGTCACATCTCGTTGGGCGGATTCTGTTGAGGTAGAACAGTAGTGCCCTTTTGACATCCAAGGTATGTAACAGTCTGTCCTCTGGGGATTTCAGAGCTGGGAATCAGAGGACTCCTAGTGTGGCATTTGGACAGGAGTGTCCTGTTGACCAGTTAAAGGTCTCGGTGGAACGACAGGGGTGGAAACGACTGGGGTTTGAACGACCTGAGGGTTGGGAGGACGACTGTGATCCAAGTTATGCTGGGCAGGATCGCCTGCAGGAGGACGAGAGAGAGATGCTGAAGGTCTCGACCTGTAGGCTGATCTCGATCTATGAGCAGAGTGGGATGAATATCGATCCCATTTGGAATAGCTCGCCGGAGTCAGCCATGGCAAGGATGGTGGATAAGCCCCATACAGATACCTCATCTGTCGTTGATCCCAAGACAGAGGTGGTGGCGGGGGTAAGAAGACTCGCGGGGATCGACTTCTGGACCGTGGACGTCTCAGAGACAAAGCGGTAGCATGTCTTTGAGAGGAGCCCGCGTAATCTCGGTTGTCGATATCGACAGATTGACTGTGCAGACGTGGAGGGTGACGCTCCGCGTTGCGTGAAGCATATTGGTGCCGACGTGGATCGATGTCGGGAGCTTCCGATACCGTCGATGACGGGGAAGGAGACGGAGAAGGCTCTGCATCCATTTGATTACTTAGGAGCTCTACCGTTTCGATGTCAGAGTAAGGACGCTCCATTTGGTGGACAGGGGAGTCCAAGACATTGATGGTCAGTATCGGTGGAGGGACTAGGAGCGGGAGGCACTTTAGGGGCATCACCCAGTGCAGCCACCACTACTTTCCCCTTCTTTGCCGCCTTAAGGGGTTTGGAAGAGCCCTTCTTTGCGGACTTTTGCTCCTCACTTGGCCTGAACTTCTTTTTCACCGGCGTGGAAGCGAAGGATTGTGCCTTCGATGCAGGAGGCTTCGGTGTCAGTTGGCCGATATCGGAGGCAGGCCTTGATGCCGGAGCCGTTGATGTCGATGGTTTCTCGGCGTCCATCGCTGAGGAAGGATGTAAAGCCGATTCTAGCAGGGCCACTTTAAGGCGTGCAGCTCAGTTTTTTCGGGTCTGGTTTGAAAAGCGAGCACACTGGCGACAGGATTCGGGTCGATGAGACTCTCCAAGACAAAGCATGCAAAGGGTATGACTGTCAGGAGGAGCAAGTTTACTACCGCAACCCTTGCACCTATTAAAAAAGCCCCACTACTTCTCCATAAAAACCAAAATGAAGACGAAAGAAGGGGTGGGGGGGTAGCCCGAAGGCCCAAATGAGGTAAAGCGGCAACCTCCCCCTCAGCAGAAAATAAAAGGGTTTTTTTTAAGTTTTTTGAAAGAACAATGAAAAAAAGGAATAAACTGAGGAAAAAATCCAAAGAGCCGTGAGGCAAAAAGCCAAAACACGCGAACCGATCAGACCGACGAAGAAAAAGGTCTTTCCAACTCGGCGGTAAGAAAGGAACTGGCGGGATGTCCGCGCCCACCCCTCTGGGCATGCACGGTGGGGTTCCTGCGCATGCCCGAGGGACTGGGCGCGAAAATCCGTTAAAGAGCTTGCTACAATGCCGATCGATCCAGCGCGTGCGCACTAGATCCCATGGGTGTGAAGCACAGAGACCACGTCGAAGATCATTTTGATCAAGAAGCTCCCTGTATAAATCCAGGCCTTTCATTAAGGAGCCGCATCTAACAACTAAGACCCAGCGCCCAATGCTACCATCGACAGCCTGTGCTTCGCCAAATTGTAATAACAACTGCTGACTGTCTTTTTAGTACGCCTGCTGCTGTTACTACCTTGCCATCGCCGTATAAGCTGATAACTGGCACTTTAAGTCTTGTTTGTATGGTTATATTTATAATTGTTGCTTTCTCTGTCAAATCTCATGTAAGCCGCCCTGAGACTGCCCTGGTCGGGAGGGAGGGGTATAAATCAAATAAACAAACAAACAAATAACAAGTATAAAATTATATGCTGCACAAAACAAACAGCCAACTTACTTGAACATACAAAGGAATCCTTGTTGAAAGTCTTCGAACAGTGGTAACAAACAATGGGTCCCACCATTCGGATTGTGCTGAAGGCGTGTCCATTGACGGCTTTCTTATCCTTGTCTTTCTCCTTGGAATCTCTCTCTTTCGTTTTCTCCTTGTCTCTCTCCTTTTCCTTTAAAAATAAAAAGGGGGGGGGGACAGGAGGGGAAAATCAGTTGGATGAACGAGTGACACTCATCGCTCTCAGTTTGTACTTCTTGATTATTTTTGCCAGGGCTATTTTTGGGCAGGAAGGCACAGGAACGGAGTTCCGGCTGGCTCCTGAGTTGGCCACGCCCAGCAGGAACTCATTAGCATAATAGGCCACACCCAAAAGCAGAAACTCATTAGGATTGGCTACATTAGGGGTGTGTGGCCTAACATGCAAAGAAGTTCCTGCTACAAAAAAGGCCCTGGGTTTTGACAACAAATAAGGTAAACTGAATAAGAAGCAAAAGGTGGGTGTGGCTGGATGACCACACTTCTGGTGGCATGGGGGTGTGTAGCTTAATATGCTAATGAGCTGTGCTGTCAGGGGTGTGTCCTAATAAGCAAATGAATTTCTGCTGTTGGGTGTGGCCTATTATGCTAATAAGTTCCTGCTGGGCTTTTTCTACAAAAAGAGCCCTGACTGGATTCCTTTCCTCTCCTCCTCGTACCTGCTGATGATGGCAAGTATCGTTTGCTAATAATATTGGTCACCAGATCATAGAACTGGAGAGAACAGAAAGGCACTTTGAGGCAATGCTCTGCCTCAACAAAAAGGACCAGCCAGCCATCACATCTCCCTCCAGAGCCTCGGGACTCCCAGAAGCTTATCTGGGTTCCTGAAGGAGAGGCCAGTAATGACAGACTTTCCCGAAGGACAGTTTCCCTTCACTATGGATCTCCCTCGGCCATATGTCACTGTGCTCCAGAGCACACTGAAGGACAAATGACGGAACAGCCTGATAATGTGTAAATCAAGCACACACACACACACACACACTCAACACAGAATATACTCCCCAGATCCTCCACAACACACAGGGCTTCCACAAATGACAAGCTGACATGAAAAGAAGGAAACAGATTGACCTGGCTGACTGAAATCTCAGGAGGACATTGCCCCTTGGGGCACATCAAAGTTCATGTCCCAAAGTGTCTGCAGCCCAGAAAACTGGGTGAGTTTTACAGCAGTGCATAAAGCGTCTCTTTTTTTAAAAAAGGCATGTTCTGTAGAGAACAAAATTTGAATGAGAGACTCCTTTCCCTAGCTCTTGTGTCTGATCAGCATTTGCAGGGCTATTTTTGGGCAGGAACGCTCAGGAACGGAGTTCCGGCTGGCTCCCGAGTTGGCCACGCCCAGCAGGAACTCATTAGCATAATAGGCCACACCCAACAGCAGAAATTCATTAGGATTGGCTACATTAGGGGTGTGTGGCCTAACATGCAAAGGAGTTCCTGCTACAAAAAAAGCCCTGTGTTTTAACAAGGTAAACAGAATAACAAGCAAAAGGTGGGTGTGGCTGGATGACCACACTTCTGGTAACATGGGGGTGCTTCCTAATGTGGTAATGAGCTGTGCTGGCAGGGGCGTGGCCTAATATGCTAATGAGTTTCTGCTGTTGGGTGTGGTCTATTATGCTAATTAGTTCCTGCTGGGCTTTTTCTACAAAAAGAGCCCTGAATTTGTTTTCAATACAGATTCTTAGGCGTCTGTCACAGCGTGGCCGGCTAGATCTTTACTGCGTACATTTTGCTGGTGATTGATCTGAAGTCCTTGATATTATATATTTCGCTTAAAACCTTTCTAGTCTTTCACTGCAGTGGCACGAACCAGGTTTACCGGAGGTCCATCCGGGCACTTAACCTGCTTTGCTTCGGCAAAATGGCTGCATCACATACCTTTCGTCGGCACTTTGGACCCAGTATTAATGGAATTTCTCAGAACTGTCTGCCTTACGTCATATCCATACCACAACAAAGCTTAGGGCCACATGTCTAACCCTTGCTGAGCCCACATCTCCATCTTCCCATATTGAACATAATGTAAGAAGTGAGCCAGAAATTATTTTCTTGTGTTATTTTCTGTACAGGGAGATGACCCATACAATGGACCACAGAGTCCAGCATCCAATTTCACACAATAGCCACTTCTTGCCCTGGAGGACCAACAGGTAGGGCACATAAATCAAGGCCTGGCCCTTGTGTTGCCTCCCAGCACTAGCATTCAGCGGCTCAGTGTCCCTGGCTCCTTCAGTGGTCATGGCCAGTAGACACTGATGGGTTTCTCCTCCATGTCATTTATTGTATTATGTACTTCATTTATACCCCTACTTTCTCCCCAGCAAAGATCCAAAGAAGCTTACAGTTTTCTCCTCACCTTCATTTTATCCTCACAACAATCCTGTGAGTTAGGGTAGGTAGTGTGTGTCACTAGCCCATAGTCACTGATCAAGTTTCCACCGTAGAGTGGAGATTCACACCTGGGCCTGGCTTCCCAGATCTTAGTCCAACCTCAGTGCACCATGAGTCTGCCCAGTTCCCTTCTCAAGCCATCATTGCTCAGGAACATCACTACTTTCACTAGCAGCAAATGCCACAATTTGATGATTCATTTTCCAGAGTGGTATTTTCTTTTGTCTCTCCTGCGTCTATTGCCCATCATCTTAACTGCTGCATTCGAGTTCTAGCACTGAACTAGAACATTCGAGTTAAATGTTACAGTGTAAGCTCGTTAGGCGCTGCGGTGGCTCAAGTGGTTAAGAGGCTGAACTGCAGGCTGTGGAAGGTCGGTAGTTCAGCAGTTCGAGATCCGAGTGTGCCGCATGATGGAGTGAGCTCCCGTCTCTAGTTCCAGCTCCTGCCAACCTAGCAGTTCGAAAGCAAGAAACTGCAAGTAGATAAATAGGTACCACTTCAGTGGGAAGGGAACAGCGTTCCGTGTGCCTCGGTGTTTAGTCATGCCGGCCACATGACCACGGAAATGTCTTCGGACAGCGCTGGCTCTTCGGCTTTGAAACGGAGATGAGCACCACAACCCTAGAGTCGGACTCGACTGGCTTTCGAGCAAGGGAACCTTTACCTTTACTTTTTAAGCTCGTTACTTAGGGCACAGACCTGCATGTTTGCTATCATTCTTCAAAGCACTGTGCATGATGCTTTGCAGTGTATATACATTATTACTGATAATTTTTGGGTGGGTAGGGAACAACTGTGGTGGCTCAAGTGGTTAAGACACTGAACTGCAGGCTGTGGAAGGTCGGTAGTTCACCAGTTCGAGACCCGAGTTGCCGCATGATGGAGTGAGCTCCTGTCTCTAGTTCCAGCTCCTGACAACCTAGCAGTTCGAAAGCAAGAAATTGCAAGTAGATAAATAGGGACCACTTCGGTGGGAAGGTAACAGCGTTCCGTGCACCTTGGTGTTTAGTCATGCCTGCCACATGACCACGGAAACGTCTTCGGACAGCGCTGGCTCTTCGGCTTGGAAACGGAGATGAGCACCGCAACCCTAGAGTCGGACTCGACTGGCTTTCGAGCAAGGGAACCTTTACCTTTACCTAGGGAACAACACTATAAGCCTGTATATTAAGATAATGATACTAGGACAATGAAACAGATAACTACAGCTTGTGGGGATGGGGTGGGAGAGAGACAGCTGTCAAGTTCTGCAATCGTCATGATGAAAAGTTCCAAGCCCCGTGGATGACGCACGCAAATCCTGGCAACAGCCTGTGCAATGGTCTCCTCTCTCTGCACTCAGCCCTACAAGCTTAACACACATACCTACAATTCTGTCTTCAACCCCTTCAGGGCATTCCTACCAGCCCTCTTTTTTTGAGTGCTGCATTCCAAGATGGAAAAAGTAACATTAACTTCTGTTCCAATCAAGGCTGCAATCCAGTGGTGCATGGTTATCAGGGAGAACAGCCCCCTCCTCAGGGCTTCCCATACCGATCCTAAAAATACAGCTTCTCGGAAGAAAACCCCTCTGGTGCCAGTGGAAGGGCCACCCCAATGCAATCCATCTGCAGCTTTACATCAGAGCCAAGGAGCTTCTGCTGAACTCAAGAGGAGTTTCTCGGTCAAGCGGGTTCCAGGGCGCCCTGCGTTCTTTGTTGAAACCACGGAAGTTGAGTTCCTAGCTGTGATGCAAATGTTCAGCCAACGTGGCCGAACGGAAGGACTAAATTCATCTGCAAACCATCCCCACTAAATTCCGTGTATTTGAATATTTGGTAGCCTCCGCAATCACAAATAAAGCAACATAGGCGTTTTCAAGATTTGAAGGTACACGAGGCCAGCCTGAGGAACTACCCGTGGTTTAGTCTTGTAACAGAGACATTTGACCTGTTTGGGCCAAGCCCTCTATTGCTGCAGACTGTCTGCCTGCAATTACCTGCCTCATCCATACCTCATTCCCAAAGACAGGCTAAGCCCCTATGTCCGCTGGAGAAACCCCGAGCTCATCCTCTGCCTGCCTGAGGTGGTCTTCTTGTATCTTGACTGCACCACTATGAACTATGGAGAGGGGTTCCAGGGCCCAAAAGGGGAAGACTCAGTTAGACCCTTTCCCCATGATATGCTAGTTTTCTGCACGGAGACCCTGGGGAAGGTTTGGGAAAGCTTTCGATCATGTGAGATGCCACCCCCACCTGCCCACGGCATGAAATGGGGCAGCCCAGACACAGGTTTTCTATCTTGGTGATGACCAACCCTGAAAAATGCTTAGAAAGACCTGAAAAGCCATCCTTCTTAGCCTGTTGCACATACCAAGCGTAGTGACTAAGAATGCAAGCCAGCAAGAAAAATTATCATGGCCAGAGACTCAGTAGCCTGATGCAGTCACAGTGCTACTGACCCACCTTGCATGGTTGTTGGTTGGACATTCTAACACATTGCTCAGTCTCGCCTGCAGCACACAGTAAATTTCAACAGACAGCTGTGCATGTCACACAATTCTTTAACTTTGCTCTCAACACCGATGCCTTGGGAAGGTTTCCATATAACTCACCTGCCTCGCACCCTGAACTTTTAAGCACTCATTTGGACACCAAATGGCATCTCTCGATAACACTCTCTCCTGACCCGTGAAACCAAAATAGCTACCAAGACTAATTTCTCAAGAGACACAGACTCCAGAGTGGGGGG